CCTTTCACAGGGGTCGCCTAAGACCATCCTGCATATCAGATATTTACATTATGATTCATAACAGTAGCAACATTACAGTTATGAAGTAGCAACGAAAATAATTTTATGGTTGAGTCACAACATGAGGAACTGAATTTAAAGGGCCAGAAGGTTGAGAATCACTGGAAGGGTCCATGGGATCTAGGCCTTACCCGCCTCTCCAACACCCACTTCATTCCTCACTCATTCCCCATGCACACTCCCCTTGTTCACTCCACACGCACACTCTCCATGCACAATCCCCATTGCACACTCCCCCACCCACATTCCCTTGCACTAACACCCATGCACACTGCCCACGGCCTTTTACGCATCCTTCCCCCGAGCCTGGCATGACTCACTTCCTCTACTCGGCCACCTGCACATATTGGCCTTCAGGACAAACCCCCCTGAAGCCCACCCACCATCACTCTCTGTGCCTTCCCTTCCCTTGTTTTTACTTTCGAGCGTAGCAATTTCCAGGGCTGAAGTTAATGTCTGTGCTCTCTCACAGACATGGAGGCCCCATGAGAGCAACACCACCTCAGTTCACACGCCGACCACAGACTCTAACCCAGCTCCTCACCCCCAGCAGGTGTTTGTTGAGTGGCTGTGTGTGGTGGTAGCAACGCTGGTGACAGTGCTGCAGAATGACACGGCCACAGCCACCTTCCACGGAAACTCCTACACTAGGTCCATATCTCAAAGCCGGGAGCGATAGGAAAGGTGACGGCGTTTTTAGGCCAAAGGAGCTCCACCCCCACCCAGACCACTTCCTTTGCTCTCGTTGGAGCGGCCCTCGCTGTCCAACCAGGTGTGTGGGTGTCAAGACCCTTCTATCTCCCGTCGGAACGCAGCACTGCTGAACCTTAGCTCCCAGGCTTAGGGCACTGCCCGGGTAAACGAGATGCACACGACATGCTACCCCCAAACTGAACACGCGTGGGCTCGTTTGTGCTGGGTGGAGACTCACATTCGCTTCAGCTTCTTGTACGGGGTGAAGGCTCCGGCAGGGATGGACTTGATGGAGTTCTGCTCCAGGCGTCTGGGAAACAGAGCAGAGGAGAGTCAATTAACCGTCAGCCCTTCACCCGGGGTCGCTGAGGGCCCTGAGGGCAGGAGGGTCTCTCCCACCAGGTGGCGCACATTCTGGGTCAAGGAGGCCAGGCAGGCACCATGCAGAAGCCAGAGACGGGTGTTCTGCTGCATGGAGCACCCGCCTGGGGCTAGAAGAGGTGACATCCCCTGAGGACCCAGTTCCTGCTCATTGTAACCTGGCTCCAGAGGCAGCAGCTTCTTCAGAAAAAAGCTCTTGGGGTAACAGATAGAGCGGGGAAGTCAGGGGAGAGAGAAGAGAGTTAAAAGCGAAGGACCGGGCCAGCCCCGCTTGGTGGAAGTGTGTCACTATTCTCGTAGAACTGCCACCCTGCTATGGGGTCTTGGATAGGCACACAGTGGCTGACTTCATGTCTGGGTTTCTTTTCTTTTCTTTCTTTCTTTTTTTTTTTAAGGAATAATTGACATATAACATTATGTTAGTTTCAGGTGAATAGCCTAATGACTCTATTTATTTCTGTTTTTTTTTAAATATCTTTATTGATTTCAGAGAGGAATTATGTTAGTTTTAGGTGAATAGCCTAATGACTCTATTTATTTCTGTTTGTTTTTTTTAAAAATATATCTTTATTGATTTCAGAGAGGAAGAGAGAGGGAGAGAGAGATAGAAACATCTATGATGAGAGAAAATCATCCATCAGTTGTCTCCTGCACGCCCCTTACTGGGGATGGAGCCTGCAACCTGGGCATGTGCCCTGACCACGAATTGAACAGTGACCTCCTGGTTCATAGGTTGATGCTCAACCACTGAGCCACACTGGCCGGGCTATTCCTGGGTTTTTCAATCGGCTGTTCTAATCTGTGGAGAAAGAGGCCTCCCATCTTTAGCTCCTGCCTGACATTCATCAAGCTGGCTCCCCGACATCCTGGAGACGTCAGGGGACCTGGCTGGACCTCTCACTGCCCTGGGCTGCTGCTCGAATCCAGGGCTCTCACATCTTACAGGCTCCCCTGAAAAGCGTCCTCTCCTATTACTCTGGGAAGATGAGAGCTGCTGCAGGCCCGGGGCCCAGAGCTTCCGTGGAAGAGAAGGGGCCGTGGGGAGCGAGCGCTCACTTCCATTCTTTATTCTTTTGTCTCTCAAATGACTTCCTGTCACCAGGAACAGGTGTGGTGGGAAAGGGCCTGGGCAGGAGGCGGCCCCTATTAGAGCTGATGAATGATGGCCCGGCCCAGGCTGAGGACGCAGCCTCTCCCCTCATCCATCTCCCTTGTCTCCGAGGTGCGGATCTTTTCATCACCTCCTCATTCGGCATGGAGGCTCCCCAAACCTCAGCTGGAAGACACAAGGAAAGGTGTGTGTGGGGGCGGGGGGAGGGGAGGGAGGAGGAAGCCACGGGAGGAACCGGCTCCCTCCGAGGCCACGTCTGGGGGCTGCACACTCCTGGCTGGGACGAACCTATTCATCTTGAAGAGTAATCTCCGCGGCAGAGTGGGGGAGACAGTCGTATTAATTTGTGCCTCTGCGATCTCATCTTCATTGGGGAACAGAGTATCTGTTACTGGAACGGCTAATGGAGCAGTTTGCCAGCAATTTTCCCATTTCAAACAACATCTCGGCTGCTAATGGGGAAGGGTTTGTCAGGCCGACCCATAACACAGACAAATCACTCCCCAGGCCAGAGGGAGCGGGAGGCAGGGGAGAAGGAGGGGTGGGGGGAGCAGAGAGGGAGCATCGGGACAGATCATTCCAGGCTGCAGGGTGAAGAGTGTGCAGACGAGACTGCACGGTCTGCTGAGAAAGCCTTTGCGGCCGCTGCGGGGGCGGGGAGTGTGCGCTGCGAGGCACGTGGGCGCAGGCTGGCTGGGCAGGGACCTGGCTGGCTCACAGTGAGCCACAGAGATGCCACGAGGTCTCAGAGGCCTGGTCTCACAGCCACCCACCTAGGCCTCTCAGGCAGGCGGCCTTGGCTGAGCAGTTCCAAGGACATTGGCGTTCTCCAGATAAGCAGAGTTTAGCAGGGTTTTCTCAGCTCAGACAGCAGCTCCGTGGGTCTCTGGGGCCGCCAGGCAGGTGGCAACTGCTCTCCAGGAATCCTGAGATTCCCCTGCCACTCGGGCGAGGGATTGAGGCTGGATGGTGCCTCAGGAGGGAACCACTGCCTATTAGCGATGGGAACCCTCTCAGCTTTGCCAGATGACCCGCTGCTCCTGGCTGTGGGCCAAGAGCCCGTGCAAGTCAGGTCAGCGCGGGGGGTGCGGTTCCTAATCACGTACCTCCACTTAGGGGAGGTGCAAGGCGGAGGGAGGGACAAGTCCGTGAGCAGGAGGGGACACCTGCCCCCCAAGGGGTTGAATCGGCTGGTGGTTTAATCCAGCTCCAGACGGTCTATCACGGAACCGAGCTTCATTGCTACCATCCAGGAAGAGCTGTTGTTTAGTATGGAGTGGAGTTGATTTATGTCCATTGTCTCTTTTCATCCTTACTCTGCCCAGGCAAGCGGTTGGGCCCTGTTTTGTGAATGAGGGAAGGAAAGCCGAGAGGGAACCATCTGCCCAAAGTGACGGAGCTGGTGGGGGCAGCACTGACACGCCTCTGCTCCTGCCCACTGATCACACTGCCTCTCCATCGTCTGGGAAAAGGGGAAACTGAGGCCTGAAGTCACCATAAAGTCTGAGGGGTTAGGAGGCCAGGGCCCCTTCTGAGACGCAGCAGGTATTTTGTGCAAAGGCTGTGGGAGATGCGGGAAGAGGGAAGAGCGAGCTGAATGTGTATAACATATGCACACAGAGTGCAAAGGTGTGATTTTTGAACAAAGAACAAAGAGTTCTGATCTGAGCCTGTTAACCTGCAGGGACGTGGCTGTGCCCCCGCTACTCTCGGGACTCGCACTCTGGGGAGGGTCTTTTCTCTGCTGTTGCCGCTGCGGGTGCTGCTGGGGGTGCTGGCTGGGCACCCAACTCCACTGAGATGCCAAGGCCAGGAGTCGCAGGTTAACGTCGCCCCAGCGGCATCAGAGTTTGTCTTGGGGAGGCATGGGTGGCTGTGAATAGTCAGCCACTTCAATGTAAAGGCCAGGGTAGCCATAATAGCAGCATAAGTGCTTAGAAGTCAGGTATTAGGCTGAGTTCAACAAGGCTTATCTAACAACAATTAACCTCTAGGAGGCGGACCCTACGCACTACTGCCATGTCCACTGCAGGTATTAGGCTGAGTTCAACAAGGCTTGTCTAACAACAATTAACTAGGAGGCGGACCCTACGCACTACTGCCATGTCCACTTCAAACAGGAGGAAACTGAGGCTCGGAGATATTAAGTCCCTTGTCCAGATTCATTGAGCCGGGAAGAGCTACGGCGGGACGCACACAGTTTCACCGGCTCGAGAGCCGCGTCTCCGTCACTGAGCTGTGCCGAAGGCCCTTGGAGCTGAGGCCTCTCCATTCTTTTAGTCACTGCCCATGCCCATCCCCAGGGAAACGGCCCTTCCATCAGGGGGCAAGGCTGTGTGCACACCCGCCTCTATGCGGCAGGTACCCCTGGTGGTGGTTACACAGAGCCCAGTCCTACAGCCGGCAACAAGCGTGCAAAGATGCGTATTCCCAGCGACAAAAACTCAGAGCGGAGGACAAAAGCAGCATTAACATCAGCAAAACCCGGCACACTCAGGGATGTGTCTGAAGCCAATAGCTGTTTTAGGTCTCACTTAACTGGCACGTGTGTCTTTCTTTGTCTGGCAAACACCCTTCAGGCTGCCAGCTGATCTGATAGAACCGGCATAAAAACAAACACAGATCAAACATCCAAGCATCTTCCACCCAGTAAAACGCCGGGGACACCCGACGGGGATTTCAGCCATGCGCGGTCTGCATCGATTTGCCCTAGTTACTTGGTGCTGCCTTAATGATCTGTCACTTGCAAACTCACCACTGAACACAATATATTTCTAGCCACACGTAAGTCAACACCATGCCAGGGAGACTGCCTGGGGCTGCCAGTCACCTGGCAGAGAGGGCCTGCAGCTGGGCTGGACCCCTGGTGGTGATGTGGTTGAGGCAGTGCGGACGATGAATATCCACCATCTACTGAGGCCTTCTTATGTCAGACACTGTGCTCGTCACACGTGGGCTCATTTCATTCTTTCCACAACCCAGCAAGGCAATGGTATTATTAATATACCCATTTTATGGACGAAGAAATCATGCTACAAAGAGGCCAGTTTGCCTGATGCCAAGTTGCTGGTAAATGGCAGAGCCTGCATGGAACCTAGAGTGGTCTGGTGCCAATGCCTGCATTCTTCACCCTGGGCTACACTGCCCACTCCCAGAAGCCACCTTCGTGAGAGCTTGCAGTGGTTCTAGTCTTTCCATCTCTAGTCTTCCCTGGACTTGGGAACTCTTGCTCGATGTCCAGGTCCTGCTAAAGGAAGGAAATTCCATGTGTGTCCTTCCCCAAGGTCACCCTGGGCCGTCGGAGAAAGGCAACATTGCAGAGCCCAGAGGCCCCATTCCTGGTGCTCCTCTGCACCTGCATTAGGGCTGAGGGGAGGTCGTGTCAAGGTCATGTTGCTGGCCTTTCCCTTTCTCTACCTCTGCTCCTGGTAGTTCTGCAGACCAGCAGTGAGTCCTGACATCCCCACTGAGTGTGTATGCTTGGTAACAGCAGCGATGAGGATGCAGGCATCTGTGGCCTTAGCCGTTGCTAAGCTGCTCTGCAGAACACCTGGCGTCACCAGCGGGAACAGAGGGACCGACGCAGAGCCGAGTCTGCTCCTACTATATGCACATGCTCAGAGGCCTCCAGCAGGGGACATTTTTTTTCATCTTAGAAAAAATGAATGAAGAATAAATAGTGTGGGAACTTGAGCCTAATCATTCTATCATGGGCTATATGTATACATGCCCATAAGTTTTTTCTTTTTAGATCTCATTTAGATCCCAAACATTGTGCTACTTTCTACATGTTGTTATTTAATCTTCATAGAAAATCT